TTTTTTTTTTTTTTTTTTTTGCAGAAAAGGCCCCATGCAGCAGAAGCTCAGATTTACAAAGAGGTACCAGCCATCTGGTGCTTACGTCTGAGTCCGGGAAGCTCCTGTGAGCGGGGACCCAAACAGCTGCGGAGGATGCTCTACTTCACCCTTGCTCGTCCTCGAGAGGGTTCAGAGAACCTCTTCTGTGAGTTCTACAAAGAAACAAAAGTCCCTGCAAGTTGGAATAAATTGCCACTTCAAGGGAGAAATGCTGCGGAAGTGATGCTCAGAGCATGTCAGTCAAAGGAACAAGTGCCTGCTGCCTCCAAGTCGCCAGCCTCTTGCTAGCGCCCCCTGCAGCCAGGTCCTAGCAAGCCGGCAGTAGGCAAAGTGCAAAGGTGGTTTGCGGAGGCCTGCCCCGCCCCTGCCCCAGCCCCAGCCCAGGCCCTGTCCCAGCCCTAAGAAGCAAGGTAGAGGACAGCTGGTTTGAAGTTGAGAGGAGCTTAATAACTTTATTTTTAAATTTTAGTTTTGCAGTGCTGAGAATCAAAAGCAGGGCCTCTTGCATGCTAGACAGACGCTCTACCATTGAGCTACACCTCATCCCCTAACATACTTTATTAATTTGAAAAAATTAGATGAAGCTACACAAAATCAAAGAACAAAATATGATCCCCAATACTGTTTTGTAGTTTCCCTACCCAGGGGCAATCACTGTTTTGTGAGTGTGAGTATGTGGTACTGGGAATTGAACCCAGGGGTGCTCTACCCTCTTAGCTACATTCCACACTTGTTCTTTTTTATTTTTAGATACAGTTTTGCAAAGCTGCTGAGGCTGACCTCAAACTTTCAATCTCCTGCCTCAGCCTCCTGAGTCTCTGGGATTATAGGCACACACCACCACACCCAGCCAGAGGCTATGACTCTCACTAATAACCTGTTGAACATCTTTCCTGAAGTGTCCTTATTTTATAAATGAGAAAATTGGCACAGAGAAGCTGGGAGTTACCAACAGACACACAGCAAGGGATAGAAGCAGGGTTTAATCCAAGGCTGTCCCTGCTCCAAATCCCATTCTTTTAACCATTATGGATCATGCTTACATACATGAATTATAGTTGGTGTTGTATGTACATAGCTTCCTGTAAATTCTTTCTTATTTACAATCATGCTTTCACATCTGTCCATACTCATAGGACATACTCTTAGGGCCAGGGAGTGAAGACTTCAGCACAGGAATGGGGGAGACACGTGATTCACCCCTTCCTGCTCCCTACCAAAACATCACCCACATCGTGAATGAACAAAAAGCTTTACTTTAAAGACACATTCAAAACAGCCTCATGGGGATGTGATGCACACATCACATGGGAGGCTGAGGCAGGAAGATAGAAATTTTCCAATTACCCTGGACAACTTAAATAGTCTCTGTTCCAAAATAACAAAACCAGTGTAGTGGTGCACACCTATAATCCCCGCCACTCAGAGCTGAGGCAGGAGGATTGCAAGTACAAGGCCAATCTGAGGAACTTAGCAAGGCCCTGCACAACTTGCCTCTAAATAAAAAGTAAACAAAGGGGGGGCACATGAGGATGTGGCTCAGTGGTTAAGCACCCATGGTTCAATCCCCAATAACAAGAGAAAGAGAGAGAGAAGGAAAGGAAGGAGGAGGGAGAGGGATAAAGGATGTCGCTCAATGGTAGAGCGCCCCTGGGTTCAACCCCCAGGACTACAAACAACAAAATTTCCCATTAGGACTTAACACATTTTATTATCTATTCTTCTAATGTAGACATTCAGGTTCATCTACTTCACAAAGTTTTTTTTTATAGCTCTTAAATATCCCAGAAATTATTCTAAGTGCTTTGTGAGTTTTCATCTTTTCAATGTAAAATGTGTTCCCAGAGACCCAGTGTGAGGATTTCTATAGAAATGAAATATTTTAGCTGCACCAGATGTTTTTAAAGCATAAATTCTTAAAAGTAAAATTTCTGGGGGCTGGGGATGTGGCTCAAGCAGTAGCGCTCTTGCCTGGCATGCGCAGGGTGCTGGATTCCATCCTCAGCACCACATACAATTAAAAAATAAAGATGTTGTGTCCACCAAAAACTAAAAAATAAATATTAAAAATTTCTCTCTGTCTCTCTCTCTCTCTCTCTCTCTTAAAAAAAAAGTAAAATTTCTGGGTCAAAGAGTATGCCCATGTTAGTGTTCTTATTATATTTTGCTAAATTGCCTCTAAAGAAAATATTCTATAGATTTATATTCCCACCACAATTATAAGAGATTGCCCATTTCCTCCACACCTTCACCAACATTGCATATTAATATCAATGTCTCAAAAAGTACATTAATGCTCTCGCTCGCTCTCTCTCTCTCTCTTTCTGTGTGTGTGTGTGTATGGCTGGGGATTGAACCCAGGGCCTCATGCATGCCAGGCAAGCACTCTACCACTGATCTACATGTACTGCCCTTTTTTTTTTTTTTAAGAGAATTTTTTAATATTTATTTTTTTAGTTTTTGGCGGACACAACATCTTTGTTTGTATGTGGTGCTGAGGATCGAACCTGGGCCTCACGCATGCCAGGCGAGCGTGCTACCGCTTGAGCCACATCCCCAGCCCCAATGTGCTGCCCTTTTAAAAATTTTATTTTAAGATAGGGTCTGGTTAAATTGCCCAGATGGGCTTCAAAGTTGCCTGTAATCCCAGTTACCGAGACAGGAGGATCACTTGAGCCCACAAGTTAGACACCAGCTGGGCAACATAGAGAGCCTATCTCAAAAAAAAGAAAACATAAGTTTTAGTTCATGAACTGATGGTGGATAAATAGAACATGGTATATGCATATGAAGAAATATTATTTGGCAATAAAAGGAAAGAAAGTTCTGATGCACAACCCAGGAGGGATGAACCTGAAAGCATCACTGTAGGTGAGAGAAGCCCATCCATCACAAAAGGCCACGCGTTGCATGAGTCCATTCATATGAAGCGGGCAGCGCAGGTGAACCCCTAGAGGCAGGAAGTGGGTGAGTGGCTGCCAAGGATCAGCAGGAGCGGGGAGAAAAGGAGTCACTGGCACAGGGTCTCTTTAAGTGGTGATGAGAATGTCCGAGAACTAGGCTGTGATCACGGTGGCATGACTCTGTGCACACAAGTGTGTGGACTGCACAAAGTGTGCATCACATCCCCATGAGGCTGTTTTGAATGTGTCTTTATTTTATTTTTTTTTTTTAAGTATTTTTTATTTTTTAGTTATCGGCAGACACAACATCTTTGTTTGTATGGGGTGCTGAGGATCGAACCCGGGCCGCACGCATGCCAGGTTAGCGCGCTACCGCTTGAGCCACATCCCCAGCCCTTGAATGTGTCTTTAAAGTAAAGCTTTTTGATCGTTCACGATGTGGGTGATGCTTTGGTAGGGAGCAGGAAGGGGTGAATCATGTGTCTCCCCCATTCCTGTGCTGAAGTCTTCACTC